ATATATATATTTCCATAAGGTTCGTTGCGGCATGCAACCCGATCCATATACATATAGCCATAAGGTAGGAAACCCAACTTAAAATATTTTAAAGTGTGTGAGTGTTTGGCTAAAGTGCAAGTTCCTAAACCCAAAAGGGTGAAGATCGGACCGAAAACAGTTGATTGCGTTTTCATAGGATATGCAAGAAATAGTAAGGCATATCGTTTCTGGTTCATAAATCAGAAAATCCCGACATTCATATTAATATGGTAATCGAATCCGATAATGTTGAATTCTTTGAGAATATTTATCCTTATAAAAATGAATGCCAGTTGTCTAGTAAAAAATCTAAGCGACCTCGAGAAGAATCAAAGATAAGTTTGTTTAATGAGGAAAATCCAAGATGTAGTAAACGTCAAAGAACAACTACTTCCTTTGGACCAGACTTTCTGATATTTTTGTCGAAAAATTAGCCTCAAACGTTTAAAGTAGCAATGTCTTCCTCAGAAGCACAATATTGGAAAGAGGCGGTCAATAGTGAGATAGAATCAATTTTAAGTAATCATACTTGGAAATTGGTTGATCTTCCTCCAGGAAATAAACCTCTGGGAAATCCAAAAGGAAAATGAAAGTTAATGGTTCTATTGACAAATATAAGCCAAGATTAGTTGTCAAAGGGTTTAGACAACGAGAAGGTCTTGACTATTTTGATACATACTCACCGGTAATAAGGATTACTTCTATTCGGGTGTTAATAACGTTAGCCGCCGTGTATGGTCTTGAAATCCATCAGATGGATGTGAAGACAACCTTCTGAAATGGAGATTTGGAGTAAGAAATTTATATGGAACAATCTGAAGGGTTCGTGGTTCCTGAAAAAGAAAAGAAGGTGTGCCGACTTGTTAAGTCACTTTATGGATTGAAACACGCACCTAAATAATGGCATGCGAAGTTTGACCAAATAATGTTGGCAAATTGATTTAAGATTAATGAGTGTGATAAATGTGTTTACATCAAAAACACTCCAAATCATATATTCATTGTATGTTTATATGTTCATGATATGTTAATAATGAGCAAAGATATTGCGGATATAAATACTACTAAGCGTATGCTTGCTAGCAAGTTTGATATGAAAGACTTAGGAGTTGATGATTTAATTCTAGGAATTAAAACTCATAGGACTATTCAAGGTCTGGCATTGTGTCAATCTCATTACGTTAAAATGGTACTTGAAAAATTCAAGTATTTAGATTTTAAAGTCGTAAAGATTACGATTGAAGTAAATGTTGCTCTTACAAAGAATCTAGGTCAGAGCAAATCTCAACTAGATTATGCTTTAGTGTTGGAAAGTTTAATGTATATCGTAAATTGTACACGACCTGATATAGCTTGTGCAGTAAGTAAACCGAGTCGTTACACAAGTAATCCCAACCAAACTCATTGGATGGCAATGAAACGAGTTTTGGGGTATCTAAAATATACCCAAGATTATGCTTTGCACTACGATAAGTATCCTGCGGTAATTGAAGGATATGGTGATCCAAATTGGATCATAGGGTCATCAGAAACAAAGTCCACAAGTGGATACGTGTTTACTATTGGTGGAGGAACAGTGTATTGGAAATCACCCAAACATACATGCATCACTCGCTCTACAATGGAGTCTGAGTTTATAGCGTTAGATAAGGCTGGAGAAGAAGCTGAATGGCTCCGGAATTTCTTGGAAAATATTCCATTTTGGCCCAAACCAGTGGCTCCTATATGCATACATTGCGATTGTCAAGTGATGCAATAGGAAGGGCTGGAAGCGTTATGTATAACGGAAAATCTCGTCACATATGATGAAGACATAATACCGTTAGAAAACTACTCTCTAGTGGAATTATCACAATTGACTACGTAGAGTCAAAAGATAATGTGTCGGATCTGCTTACAAAAGGCCTAAATAGAGAGGCGGTTGATAAATCATCGAAAGGAATAAGACTATGGCCGAGGACAAGTCATTGTGGAGGTAACTCTACCTAGAAGACTGGAGATCCCAAGATCTAGGTTCAAGGAGATCAAACAAAGTCATTAGTGACGGTTCAACATTGTCAAATAAAATTTTGGTCTATTCTCGTGATGAGACAATGTTCAGTACCAAGGATAAAGCGTTAACACTTTTTAATGGTTTCTAAGTTTGATACATAGTATATCAAATAGTGTATCTATAGGATAACATATTTAGGAATCACCTATATAAGTGTGAAGTGTAAGCCGCTTCAAGGAGAATTCTGTAAGGCCAGTTCTCTATGAACTTATGAACTAGACGGTGTTCATGGCTGAAACGAACCCAACAATAAGAACCAAAGGTGGTTAAAGGGTTGATTGTATGACTTGTGCCTGTCTAGGTATACACCAAAGTTCGACGGTTCAAAGATATCAAATCTACCGATTGATCGAGTATATCCGACATAAGTTCATTATGGAAAGTTCAAAGGGAAACATACTTATCCAGATGCGATTAATCCTTACTTGTAAATCACACAGTTTTTCATGCATGAATATTTTCAAATAG